AGCCTACTTTAAACATTTAGTTGGACCTACTTTGACCCTTCATTGCCTCTATTTGAAGACTGCAGTAAACCTACGTTGATCATATTTTGACACTGAAACCTAATTTAATCCTACTTTGACCCTACATTTAACCTACTTTAAATCTACATAGAACCTAGTTGAACCTTCTTTTATCCTTCATTGACCCTACATTGAGCCTACTTTTACCCTACATTGAGGCTATTTTTACCCTTCATTGACCCTACATTGAGTCTAATTTAACCCTACGAAGAACCTAATTTGAGCCTATTTTTACCCTTCATTGACGATACATTGATTTTATTTTAAATTTAAGTTGAACCTACTTTTACCCTTTATTGACTCTACATTAAGTCTACTTCAAACCTAAGTTACCCCTACTTTAACCCTACATTTAACCTACTTTAAATCTGCATAGAACCAAAGTTGAACCTACTTTTACCCTTCATTGACTCTACATTAGGCCTACTTAAAACCTAAGTTACCTCTACTTTGACCCTACATTTAACCTACTTTAAATCTGCATAGAATCAAATTTGAACCTACTTTAAATCTGCATAGAACCAAATTTGAACCTACTTTTACCCTTCATTGATCCTACATTGTACCTACTTTTACCCTGTATTGACTCTACATTAAGCCTACTTCAAACCTAAGTTACCCCTACTTTGACCCTACATTTAACCTACTTTAAATCTGCAGAGAACGAAATTTGAACCTACTTTAAATCTGCATAGAACCAAATTTGAACCTACTTTAAATCTGCATAGAACCAAATTTGAACCTACTTTTACCCTTCATTGATCCTACATTGTACCTACTTTTACCCTGTATTGACTCTACATTAAGCCTACTTCAAACCTAAGTTACCCCTACTTTGACCCTACATTTAACCTACTTTAAATCTGCAGAGAACCAAATTTGAACCTACTTTAAATCTGCATAGAACCAAATTTGAACCTACTTTTACCCTTCATTGACACTACTTTGAGCCTACTTTTAACCTAAGTTGACTTTACTTTGATCCTACATTGAACATATGATAAACCTCAGTTGATCCTACTTTAACCCTACTTTGAACTTTCATTGACCTTATATTGAGCCTAATCAAATAATTAAAAAAAAATATATTTTTATTTAAGAAGAAAATTTAATTTAAAAAAAATAAAAATCCATATCTTTAGCCTTATTTGACTCTACTTTGGCGTTAAATTGAACCTTCATTAACCTTAAATTGAGTCTTATTAGTTATTTTAAAAAAAAAAATTTTTTTATTTAAATTGAAAATTTAATTTAAAAAATCAAAATTTCTTGTTTTGTTTGAACCTAAATTTAAAAAAAAAAGTTTTCTGTTTCGTTTGGAATTTAAAAAGAAAAAGAAAATATATATATGAATCAGCATTGATATTTGTTTTGAAATTAAATAAAAATTACTCAATTTTGTATCATATATGCATACTTTAAAAGGAAAAAAAAGAGATAAAAATTAATAGTAATTTTTGCTACAGATACATTAGTTATACATATATATTAAGAGGCTATTAGTGTGTCTGTCTCTCTGTCTCTCTGGCTTTTAAAAAATATTAGAGTTAAAAGGAGTAAAATTAGAAACTAATTTTAACTTAAAAGGATGGAAAATTTGTATCGGTATCTTTAATTTTCGGTTGTCATTTAAATGACTGAAAAAATGATGATGTTACAATTTTTTTACCATTTCATTTTTGGAGTTTTCATAATATATATATATATATGAATCATTTGACGCTTTAAAAATATTTTTCTTTTACCACTCTAATGGATAATTAATGACTCCGAGCACGAACCCATTATTGAAAATCGTTTCAAGAAATTGCTATATACAATCCTTTTTTTTTTTTTTTTTTGCATCTCATGTCGATGATGTGTATAATATTTAAAAACCGATTCATGAATGTGAGAAAGTCATTATCTATCTTTTGCCTTGTGAAGTAAATGTCAATTAAATTTTTAAGATATTAAAAAAGGAAAAATTTTTTTTTTTTTTTAAATAAGAAATTTTAGTATTAAATAATTACTTTTACGATTAAAAAAAAATTTTTACTATAAAAATTTAATTTAATTTAATTTAAAATTTTCTATTTTCTTTATTTATTTTATTATTTTAGTTCAAAGTAAAAAAATTGAAATATAATTTAATTAAATTAAAAATTAAATTAAAAATTGAATATAATTTAATTAAATTAAAAATTAAATTAAAAATTCAACTAAAAATTAAATTCAAATAAAAAATAAAATTAAAATTAAAATAAAAAAAAATTATTACCTAAATTTGTTTAATGTTTGTAAATTAATTCACAATAATTGCACAACTCTCATTCTACTTTCTATTTCGTTTAATTTTTGTCAAGTTTCATTTCTATGACAAATAATAATAATTCGCCTTTTCCCTCTTTTAACATGATCCAGAAGCTTCTATAAACACTTAGCTTAATAACAAAGAAAAATTAAAAAAAAAAAACCAGAAACACTTACTTCCATTTTTTTCTTGTCATTTATTTATCACTTAAAAACTATTTAGTTTGTTTATTTGTTTTAAGAAAAAAAATTTTTTTAAAAAACTAGAATTTCTATACAATTTAGGGTATTTTTTTTACAATACTTTACATTGAACCTACTTTGACACTACATTGAATCTATATTAAACCAGAGTTGATCCTACATTGAGCCTACTTTAAACCTATGTTGAACCTACATTAATTCTACGTTAAGTCTAAGTTGACCCTACTTTCATCCTATATTAAGCCTATATTAAACCCAAGTTTACCCTACATTGAGCATACTTAAAAACTAAGTTAACCCTACTTTGACCCAACATTTAACCTACTTTAAATCTACATAGATCCTTAGTTAAACCTACTTTTACCCTTCATTGTGCCTGCTTCAATCCTTAGTTAACCCTACATTGACCCTTCATTTAACCTACTTTAAATCTACATAGAACCTTAGTTAAACCTCCTTTTACTCTTCATTGACTCCACATTGAGTCTAATTTAACCCTACGTAGAACCTAACTTGAGCCTATTTTTACCCTTCGGTGACCATACATTGAGTTTATTTTAAATCTAAGTTGAAACTACGTATACACTTCCTTGACTCTACATGAAGCCTATTATAAACCTAAGTTGACCCTACTTTGACTCTACATTGAGTCTACTTTGACCCTACATTGAGCCTACTTTAAACCTAAGTTGACCGTATTTTGATCCTTCATTACTTCTACTTGAATCCCACAGTATAACTATGTTGATCCTCCTTTGACCCTTTTTTAACCTTACACTACGCCTAATTTAACCCTACAAAGAACCTACTTTTACTCATCATTGACCCTACATTGAGTCTAATTTCACACTACGTAGAATCTAAGTTGAGCCTATTTTTACCCTTCAGTGACCATACCCTGAGATTATTTTAAATCTCAGTTCAACCTACGTTTACCCTTCATTGACCCTAAATTAAGCCTAATTTAAACCTAAGTTAACCCTTCACTGACCTTACATTAAGCTAACTTTAAACCAAAGTTGAACCTACTTTGACACTTTATTACTACTATTTGAATCATACAGTAAAACTTTGTTAATCCTTCTCTGACCCTTTTTTAACCTTACATTGAGTCTAATTTACCCTACAAAGAACTTAAGTTGAGCCTGGTTTTACTCTTCATTAACCCTACATTGAGCCTACTTTAAACCTATGTTGACCCTCCATTAACCGTACTTTAAGCCTAAGCTGACCATACTTTGACCCTACTTTGACCCTACGTTTAACCTACTTTAAGTCCACATATATCCTTAGTTAAACCTACTTTTACTCTTGATTAACCCTACATTGAGTCTAATTTAACCCTACGTAGAATCTAAGTTGAGCCTATTTTTACTCTTTATTGACCATATATTAAGTTTATTCTAAATCTAAGTTGAACCTACTTTTACCCTTCATTGACCCTACATTGAGCCTATTTTTCCCCTTCATTGACCTTACATTAAGCCTAATGTAAACCTAAGTTGGCCCTACTTTGACCTTATATTAAGCTAACTTTAAACTAAAGTTGAACCTACTTTGACACTTCATAACTACTATTTAAATTATACAGTAAACCTTTGTTAATCCTCCTCTGAGCCTTTTTGACCTTACATTGAGTCTAATATAACCCTACAAAGAATATAAGTTGAGCCTGATTTTACTCTTCATTTACCCTACATTGACCCTACTTTAAACCTATGTTGACCCTCCATTAACCCTACTTTAAGCCTAAGCTGACCCTACTTTGACCCTACATTTAATCTACTTTAAATCTACATAGATTCTTAGTTAAACCTACTTTTACCATTGATTAACCCTACATTGAGTCTAATTTAACCCTACGTAGAATCTAAGTTGAGCCTATTTTTCCCCTTCATTGATCCTACATTAAGCCTAATTTAAACCTAAGTTAACCCTACTTGGAACCTACATTGAACCTACTTTAAGTCTACATAAAACCTTAATTGAGCCTACTTTTACACTTCATTGAACCTACATTGAACCTACAACCTACTCAATTATGAATTTTATTAAATAGAAATTCGGTTAAATAAATTTTTTTTATTTAATTATATATTTGCAAAATGAAAATTCAGTTAATTAAAAATATTTTTTTTTATTGAAATTCAGTTAAATGAAATTTAGTTAAATACAACATATTTAATATATATATATATATATATATAATTTGTTTTAATAGAAATTCTAATTTAAAAAATTCATTTTAAAAATTATAATTTTATTTTCCTTTGCATATTAATGAAAAAAACGCCAATTAAAAAAATTCTATTATTATTATTACTATTATTATTATTATTATTATTATTATTATTATTATTATTATTATTATTATTATTATTATTATTATTATTATTATTCTACTATGATATTAATAAATAAATAATTTTTTTTCTCTGTTTCAGGTACCGAATTAGTTCACAGCTGATGCGCATCACCAGTAATATAATAAACAAGTTCAATTTTTTTTATTAAAAAAAAAAAAAAAAAATTTATATTATTACTGTAAATCTAGAATTAAAATAATATTTTTCTACGACTTTCATTTAAAAGAAGAAAATAACAATTCGACTGAGATAATAATAATAATAATAGTAATAATAATAATAATAATAATAATAATAATAATAATAATAATAATAATAATAATAATAATAATAATAGTAATAGAATTTGATGATGATTATTATAATAATGACAAATGTGAGTGTGTGTATATGTATGGTATATGTGAGTGTGTGCTTTTTTTATATATATATATATATTTAAGTACAAGTCTGACAATTGCGCATCAATATTGTTCTTCCAAAAAAAAAAAAAAAATTAATAATTATATATAAAATTGTAATTTTTTTTCTCATGTTATTTTGTTTTTCTATTTTAAGCAACAAAAAAAAAAATCATTGACTTTGTTCCATTTTGTAAATAAATAATTTTCTAAAAAAAAAAAAAAAAAAGAAGGAAACCTTAAAACAAAAATTTTCTTCATTTCTAGTAATTTTTTTTTTTCATATCATAATGTGTTTGTATTTTTTTTTTTTTTACAATTTATTTCACAACAAAGTTAATTTCCCCCCTCCCTCCTTTATTATTAATAATAATAATAATAAATTTTTAAAATAGAAATTATTAATTTTTTTTTCTTTTTTTCATTAAATGCGAATTGTCACATTTGTTTATGGATATTAATAAAAAAAAAAAAAAAAATTAAAAAAAAAAATTACTCAGAGAGAATTGAATGAGTGTGGATGAAAGAGAGAATGAAATTTTACATTGTTTTTGATATTGGTTACAAAAAAAAAAAAAAAAAAAAAAAAAAAAAAAAAAATGTTTGTCATATATTATATTATATATATAATTTAGAAAAAGAAGAAAAAAAAAATTGGGCTTTCAATTTTCTTATTCGGGGTAGAACATTGTTATTTTCTCCCATTTTCCCCGATAAAGAATAATAATAATAATAATAATAATTAAAAATAAAATGAAAGCCAAGATATGCGATAATGGTTTGTACTCTACTTTGTAAGTATAAACAAGTTTAAAAAAAAAAATTAGATTTGATTGTTTTTAGATAGAAAGGATCGTTTTAGAGCTAAAAGTTTATTTATTCCTCCATTGTGAGGTTGAAAATAAAGAATGCAGATTTTTTATCGAAATTTCGCTGTGTCTTTACTTACCATCCTTTTTTTTCCTTTGACTATTTTTTTCAAATATTTTTAAATTTTTAGAGGAAATTTAAAAAAAAAAATATTTAATTTTTTTATGCGCCTTGGATATAAACATATTGGATTGAACCTTAATTAAACCTAAGTTAAACCTATTTTTACCCTTCAAATTTATACATTAAATCTATGAGTTGATTCTATTTTGAACCTTCATTCACGTAAAATTAAAATCATATTAAACCTACATTTACCCTAAACTGACCCTACTTTTACCCTGCTTTAACCCTACTTAGATTCTAATTTGACCTTTAATTAAACCTAAATTAAGCCTACATTAAACATCAGTTCACCTTAGTTAGACACCTTCATTACCTCCTATATTAAGTTACTAAGCCTACATTAAACGTATTTTAATTCTACTTTGACACTTTTAAACCTTATATTAAGCCTAATTTGACTCTATATAGAACCTAAGTTAAGCTTACTATTACCCTTTACTGACCCTGCATTGAGCCTACTTCAAAACCTATATTAACCCTACTTTTACTCTTCATTGACACTACATTGAGTCTACTTTAAACCTAAGTTGATCCTACTTTAGCACTACATTGGACATACTTTAATCCTAAGTTAACCCTACTTTGATTCTGCATTGGCACTACTTTGACCTAACAGAAAATCTATATTAAGCCTTAGTTGACCCTAAATTGAACCTACTTTAAACCTAAGTTGACACAAATTTAAGCCTAAGTTGATCCTACTTTGATCCTGTATTGAGCCTACTTTGAACCCAATTAGACCCCACTTTGACCCTTCATTGCCTTTTTTTTGAAGCCTACAGTAAACCTACGTTGATCATATTTTGACCCTTAATTATCCTTACATTGAGCCTACATTCAGACTACTTTAAACCTAAATTTCTCCTACATTAAACCTACTTTAAACCTTAGCTGATCCTACTTTAACCCTACGTTGAATTCATAATAAACCCACATTTATCCTACTTTGACCCTCCATTGATTCTATATTAAACCTAAGTTGACTCTACACTAAGCATACTTTAAATCTACATAGAACCTTAGTTAAACCTACTTTTACTACTACCTACTTCCATCTTTTTCTTGTCATTTATGTATCACTTAAAAACTATTTAGTTTATTTATTTGTTTAAAAAAAATTTTTTATTAAAAACTAGAATTTCTATATAATTTATGGTATTTTTCTATAATACTTTACATTGAACCTACTTTTTACCCTACATTGAATCTATATTAAACCACAATTGATCCTACATTAAACCTACTTTAAACATATTTGACCCTACATTAACCCTATTTAAGCCTAAGTTAATCTTACTTTGATCCTATATTAAGCCTATATTAAACCTAATTTGACCCTTCATTGAACCTACTTTTAATCTATTTTGACACTACTTTCACACTTTATTGTCTCTACATTAAGCCTACTTTAAACTTAAGTTGACCTTATTTTAACTCTGCATTGAACCTACATTGAACCTAATTTAAAACTACTTTAAAACTTAGTTGATCCTACTTTAGGTCTACATTGAGCTTACTTTAAACCTAAAAGTTTATCTTACCCTAACCCTACATTAAACTTATAATAAACCTGCATTGACTCTTCTTTGACCCTACATTGAGTCTCCTTTAAACCTAAGTTGACCCTACTTTGACCTTACATGGAACCTATATTAAAACTAAATTGATCCCACATTGAGCCTACTTTAAACCTAAGTTGCTCCTACATCGAACCTACTTTAAGCCTTAGTTGACTCTACTTTAACCCTACGTTGAACTTATAATAAACCTACATTTATACTACTTTGACCTTCCATTGATTCTATATTAAACCTAAGTTGACTTTACTTTCACCCTAAATTGAACCTACTTTACGTTGATATTGTCCGTACTACCCTTCATTGACGCTAAATTGAGTCTCCTTTAAACCAAAGTTGACTCTACTTTGACCTTACATGGAACCTACATTAAACCTAAATTGACCCTACATTGATCCTACTTTAAACCTAAGTTACTCCTACATTGAACCTACTTTAAGCCTTAGTTGACCCCACTTTAACCCTACGTTGAACTTATAATAAACCAACATTTATCCTACTTTGACCCTACTTTTACCCTACATTAAACCTACTTTGAACTGATATTGACCGTACTATTATTCTTCATTGACAATAGATTTAGTCTACTTTTAACCTAAGTTGACTCTACATGGAACCTATATTAAACCTAAATAGACCCTACATTAAGCCTAGTTTAAAACTTAGTTGATCCAACTTTAGGTTATAATAAATAACTTATAATAAACCTCGATTGAGCCTATTTTGACCCTACATTGAAACTGCTTTAAATCTTAGTTGACCCGGGTACATGGAACCTATATTTAATCTAAATTGACCCAACATTGAGTCTACTATTAATCTTTAGTTGACCCTACTTTGACCCTACATTGAGCCTACTTTGATCCTACATTGAGACTACTTTAAACCTAAGTTGACCCTACATGGAACCTATATTAAACCTAAATTGACCCTACATTAAGCCTACTTTAAACTTAAGTTAACCCTACTTTAACTCTGCATTGAACCTACTTTAAAACTTAGTTGATCCTACTTTAGGTTATAATAAATAACTTATAATAAACCTGCATTGACCCTACTTTGCCCCTACATTGAGCCTACTTTGACCCTACATTGAAACTACTTTAAACCTAATTTGACCCGGGTACATGGAACCTATATTTAACCTAAATTGACCCTACATTGAGTCTACTATAAATCTTTAGTTGACCCCACTTTGACCCTACATTGAGCCTACTTTTATCCTACATTGAGACTACTTTAAACCTAAGTTGACCCTACATGGAACCTATATTAAACCTAAATTGACCCTACATTAAGCCTACTTTAAACTTAAGTTGACCCTACTTTAACTCTGCATTGAACCTACATTAAAACATAGTTGATCCTACTTTAGGCTATAATAAATAACTTATAATAAACCTGCATTGAGCCTACTTTGACCCTACATTGAGACTACTTTAAACCTAAGTTGACCCTACATGGAACCTATATTAATCCTAAATTGACCCCACATTGAGTCTACTTTAAACCTTTAGTTGGCTCTACTTTAAACCTAAATAGAGCACTATTAGTTAATTTTACCAAATTAATCATACTATTTTTTCCGAAACTAGTAAAAATATTTTAAGAATAATAATTACTGTATACATTTTGCAAAAGTAAAATCAAATGTGCGCACGCTCGTGTTTGGGAGAGAAAGAATTATTATTTTTGAATGAAAAAGAAAAAAAAATGCCGGGAAAAGAAGGATAAAAAGAAGAAGAAAAAGAAGAAGATCCGTTTGGCGTGACGAGAGTTCTCGTGCGCGTTAATTAGTTCGGTAAAGAGGGAGGGACATGGGCTGCTGTGTGCGGTACTAGGTGGTCTCTCTCTCTCTCTCTCTTACTCTCTCTTCAAATGTGTGAGTCATCATTACCTCATTTACTTCGTAAAACAATCTCTTGCCCCTGTGTAGTTCGATGGATTTAACTATATTAAACTTGCCACCGCGTAATTAAACTTTCCAAAGGGAGAGAGTAAGAGAGAGAGAGAGAAAGAGAGACTGCAACATAAAATATATTTATTTTCAATTTTTTATTTTATTTTTTTCCCCTCCTGACAATATAAAATAAAAAAAAAAATTTCTTTACCTCTAATTTTACAGGATTTTCTCATTTTTCCCGCTATACTCTGTTTGTATTTTCATTTTTATAAAAAAAAAAGAATAAACTTTTTTTAAAATTAGAAAAATTAGAAAATATTCTTTTGATGGAAAAACTGACAATCTTTTTTGGTTATTTATATTTATTTTTTTTTATTATTTTAATACACGGATAAAAAGATTTACCTAGAGCAGCAAAACTTTTCACTATATACTATATACATACTAACTATATACTATATATATATATATACTTTCAGGTAAATCTTTCGTTATTCTAGTGAAACATTTTGCTGTTTCAGGTAAATCTTTTTTTTTCCTGTATTAATTATTTAATTATCATTATCATTACTATATTATAAAAAGATATCGCCGCCGCCGCCGCCGCTGATTCAAGAATTCTTGACCTAGGAGGGGGGAGTCCCCCCTCCTAAATTTTGAAGTTATGTTCGTTTCAAGGCTCTAAATATAGCCGCAAGTCCCCCTCCCTCCGTCAAAAATGACCTAAATTTTGAGGTTATGTTCGTTTCAAGACTCTGAATATAACCGCAAGTCCCCTCCCATCCCCCGCCAGAAATGACCTAAATTTTGAGGTTATGTTCGTTTCAAGGCTCTGAATATAGCCGCAAGTACCCCCTCCCTCCTCTCACCCCCCCTCCGTCAAAAATGACCTAAATTTTGAGGTTATGTTCGTTTCAAGACTTTGAATATAACCGCAAGTCCCCTCCCATCCCCCGCCAGAAATGACCTAAATTTTGAGGTTATGTTCGTTTCAAGACTCTGAATATAGCCGCATATCCTCTCCCCTCCCCCGACAGAAATGACCTAAATTTTGAGGTTATGTTCGTTTCAAGGCTCTGAATATAGCCGCAAGTACCCCCTCCCTCCTCTCACCCCCCCTCCGTCAAAAATGACCTAAATTTTGAGGTTATGTTCGTTTCAAGACTTTGAATATAACCGCAAGTCCCCTCCCATCCCCCGCCAGAAATGACCTAAATTTTGAGGTTATGTTCGTTTCAAGACTCTGAATATAGCCGCATATCCTCTCCCCTCCCCCGACAGAAATGACCTAAATTTTGAGGTTATGTTCGTTTCAAGGCTCTGAATATAGCCGCAAGTACCCCCTCCCTCCTCTCATTTCCCCTCCTCCGCCAAAAATTGACCTAAATTTTGAGGTTATGTTTGTTTTAAGACCCTAATAAAGCAGTAAGTCCTTCCCCCTTCCCTCATCTC